GGCAAATCCGCGCTCGGGTTAGTTGTCTTTCGGCCTCACCGTGAGACAACCGGCTTGTGATTGTTTATCCTCGCCCGCCTTGACCGCAGAAACACTTCTCCCATCCGCTCCGGCCTCAGTGCTCCCCAGACCTTTCACACTTTCGCCTTAATTGGCCAAGTTTTCACAATCCTCCACCTATTCCCTTGTGCTAGCACACCCCCAGCCCCGTTAACCGCCCCAATCTCCCCTCCACTTCACCATTTCGTCTACTCGCTTCATCAGTCACTCGCCCTGAACCCTCGGACAGCTGTATTTTGCCCTCTTCCTCCTCCTCCTCCTCCTCCTTCTCTCCCCTCCCACCCTGACGGCTCATCCCACACTCACATGGCCCTTATACTTTTCTCTGCATAGCCACACATCACCTCAGGCAGAAAATGCAACTCATTTCTCATCCTCTCTGCTCATATGCTCGAAATCAGTCAATTTTCAGCCCCCTGTACATGGAAGCATTTATACGTCAGTGTGTATTTGTGCGTGTGTATATGTGTGTGTGTGTGTGTTTGTGTGTGCATGGTATGAGCTTGTGAGTTCGCCTTGAATGAGGTGGAGAAAGAGCAGGAAAGGTGCAGCTTTTGTCCGCCCAAACACTGGCGGCTCAATGGGGCGAAGCTGGGCGAATCTGCTGTTTTCTCTTTTCCCAGTATCAAACCCTATCTGGCAGGAAGGGACGAGATGATTTATGAGGTGACTTGAGGGTCGAGAGTTGGGAAAGCGGAAAGGAGGCTGCCCGATTGGGTCTACACCAAATTCATATGCTTGTGAATATGTCCCCGTGTTGGCCTCTTGCAGTCTTGTGTGTAGGCATGTATGTATGAATGTGTGTGTGTGTGTGTGTGTGTATGTCGACAGTGATGGGGTACAGGAGCAATGCTGTTTTTTCGTGAATATGACCCGGCCCTCGGGCATATCTGGCATCGGATCGGAAGGACTCATTTTTGTGAGGGAATGTAGAAATTGAGTTATCCGACGCTGAAGAGGACACGTTCGAATGGACCGCTGGCACAGACATGCCCAAGTGCACAACGGACAAATAGGCCCCAGTTTGAGTCAGCTTCTGAGAGCAATTTAGGAGCCAAGCTCCACGATTTGTACATTTTTCAGTCAGCAAAGTGAGATACTACTCACGTGAACTTGCCTCAATATTCGAGGCTTTGATTTAAGCCTCGATTGGCGTGAAATGATGATCTGTGCGCAGCTTTTTGTAAACTTGGAGACATCTTTGGTCTAAGAGAGAAACCAAAATTTTCATTGACGACGTCCTTCTGATCTGTTGAGAATGTCTCAAACTTTCTCGGCAATTGTGCTACTTGAAACGGGCACCCTCGTGTGACGTGTCAAGAAACACATAATTGAAAAAAACTGTTAATAAGAGGCCTCGGTACTTTACATTTC